GTGAGTGGCTGGGTGGTGCTTAGTTGCCGACTGAGATTAAACCACGACAGGTAGAAAGAGCTTCATTCCTCTCAGATATGGACTAATACTAATTCTGGACACCTGCTAAGGTAATTACCAGACTCTGGCCTCAATCTCTAAATTGCAGAGCAGCTATCCAGCTGCTTCAGCTCTATAAACCGTTACTGGTTCTGAGAGCAAGTTTCATATTTTGGACTAACACATGATACCTCCAACCCCGAGAGCTGTTAGTCCAGCCCTTCCACCCTCCTCCCAGGTTCTGACTGTTTCTACAGGAGGAGAGATGAACGTATCTGCAGAGAACAAGTAACGATGGGGGTTAAGCAAGGCAAATCAAACCCTGGGTTAAAATCGACACTTGTTTGCAAGTCAGTTTTTAATATTATTTGCTTACAAATAATTCTGCAGTTTCTTCTATCAGTTTAGACTGCTTTCGGGGTTTTTTGGGGAGCAGTTTCTTCTATCAGTGAAGACTGCTTTTGGGGTTTTTGGGGGAGGGGGGGGAATTGTTTTGTTTTGTTTTTTTTTTTTTAGAAAATCTTTGGCAAAAGCAAAAAGCTATGATAAACTAGCACAGAAGACTTTTGACAATTTAGCACAAAAAATGATCCACCTAAGAAGAAACTTACTTTGATCAGAGTGCCCTTATCAGCACACCAGACTTTCACCAGCCCTCGGTCACACCCGCTGACAACACGGGTGCCATCCATTTTAACTACCCAAACAGCACTGTTGTGCTTCAGAGTCTTGAGACATTTCCCACTCTCCAGGTTCCACACTGTTAGGGGCAAAGGGGAGAAGTATCAAAAATACGTATGCCGCAATGATAAGTTTTGCTAGGTACAACACGAATTAGAAGAGACTATTGGAATTACAGTTGCACCTTGTACCTGTAGCTCTGCCTGCAGCCAAGTGTTGACTTAAAAAGTGTAATTGCATGGAAAAAATTTTAAATGCAAAGCCCAGAAAATAGCACATCCTTTTAATCCTTACTCTATAAGCTAATAATAAGGAAACCTCTGGCAAAGCTGAAAGTTGATACCACTTTCCCAAGAGTTGGTCCGGCCCTATAGCCAAAGCCATTAAAACTGAATAAAAGCAGAAATAATGAGAATTTATTCAGTGACACAGAGACCTGTGTATGCATGTGTCCACAGCTTAGGCTGTTCTGGAAGCAAAAATATGAGACACTAAAATTCACCCTCCGATTTGTAGACTTACTTTCATACTCACACACTGCATGTGTCACACTCGTCACAACTCTCAAGTACTCTGCCCATTGCTGGCTACTATTTGCCGTTGTCTGGGAAGCTGCTAGTCTCGGCTCTCACCTTTCACCATCCCATCTCTGGCTCCTGACACAAACTGCTCTTCATGCAAATCCAAGCAGGTGATTGTCCCACAGTGACCATTAAAGATTTTCACACAAGCACCGCTGTATATATTCCAGCATCTACAAAGGACCAACCGAAAAGGGAATACAGTGATTAACTTAATTGATGGCTTATTCATCTTATTCATTATTTCCTACTTAACAGGCCCGGCTCTTCTCCTGTATACACTAGGTTAAAATCAGGAGTCATTCCACTAAGGTGTCAGAGGATTTGGAACTATCAAGTCAGGCTTAGTATTAAATTTTTACCCATATACTTTGTTCTTCTACCTCCAAACTGCCTGGAAACAAGTGGCTAGATTTCACCTTTGGCATGGTTACCTTCAATTAACCTTAAAATGTAGAGCTTTACAGATAAGGTTGTTTCTTTACTGACCAGTGCCAAGATGATTTCTGTTGACTTTATCTAGAGAACTCAAGCCTGCACGTAAACAAACAGCCCTTCTGGAGTGGGAAGAGCAGGGAGGAGAGAGCCTGAGTCGGTATAAACTCCCTTTTTGTTAAATGCTGCCTTTGATGAAGTTGTCTGGCTCTGGTATGGCAGTTGCACAACCCGCTGTTTAGCTTTTCACCCCTCATCATGATATTTTTGAGATTTAGTGATAAATAAGATGTAAGAGCTGATCTTCTCCACCCCTTGTTTCAGGGTGCGGTACCTGGAAAGGAGCAGCCGTACGGCACGCACCAGGGTGTTGAGCCTGCTTAGCACAACAGGCCTTCTAAAATGTCACGGAGAAACCCAGCCTCCCTGAACTCGATGCTGACCTTAGCAAGGCTGGAATCTCACTGCAAGGGCCTATGGAAACATTTCTGGTGTCTTAAGATGCTTTAGGAAAACCTGTGCATCACTTATCTTCCCATTTTATCATTCAGTACTGGGTGAAACTGGGCAACAGAAGCTGTCCTGTGTGAGCAGGGAATGTGTTTCCTTATCTACTGTCCTTCACTACTCTAATGAAAGTGATGGGAAGGAGGATTCCTGGGGTGGAAGGATTAGTTTCATTTTTCCTAGATTTGCCGAGGGGCTGGTATCCCAGGGCACAGCCCCCGTGCTGCTCACCTGATGCTGAGATCAAAGCTTGCACTGAGAACGAACCCCTTCTTCTCATTGAGGAAGAGTGCTTTGATGCTCCCAGCGTGGCCAGAAAGCAGAGGTGGCACTTCTTTCATTCCCGATGTACCAAGAAACCTCACTTTTCGGTCTGCTGAGCCGATGGCTACCAAGTTTCCACCACTGTAATGGATTACTCTGCTTCGGTCTGATCTGGATAAGAAACAGTGACCGAGGTGAGCTTTAGCCAGCTAGCAAGGTACCACAGGTCTAACACTGGCAGGCATTTCTCTGACGCTTAATGGTCCTCATTGAGCAACCTGATGGGCAATACGCTTAAGCGGGTGAATCCTTTGCAGGGCACCACAACCACGCTCCCTAGTTCTGCATAGCCACGTTTGCATCTGGAGGGTAAGCTTAAAGAGGGGAGAGGGCTCCTCCCGGCCCCGCATCCCTTGTGATACACTGTGGATCGCTAACCCTTATGTCTTTAAAAATAACTTACCTTGGTGTCTTTATAAATAACTGGATTTGACACCGAGGACTTCTTAACACTGATGCTGAGAGACCCTTCTCCAGCCATACATTCCCACAGAAGGATTGCGAGGAACGGGGTAGGTTTTTGGAGGCCGCTGTTTGGCTCTACAGCCGGGCAGTCTACTCACTGATCTGTGAGGACACGAATATTGTAGGAGCCGCAGAAGACATTTCTCTCTTCCAGCTGAATCGTGTCAGTTTGCAGATCACGATAGGCTGCCTGCAGATTGTCTTCCTCCTCCTGATGGAAAGAGAAAGAGGGAAATACGAGTCAGGGAGGGGGAATGCAGCATTATTCCACACTATTAAATGTATCAGCTTGGTCCCCACTATAGTGATGAGACCAACAGAGACAGAAAGTGCTGGTAAGGAACACCCGGAGTGCAGGAACGTCCTGGTTAGTGCAGAAATGAGGGTAGTTCCCGTGCCCTGTTCCGTGGCAAAAGTGGAAGACCTGACAGCTGCACCCTTTATCCTTTGGGAAAAAGGCCATGTCCTCGTGACGCTGCCCAGCCTTGCCAGCACCTCTGGCCTCAAGGCTGTTCACGCAACTGAGGGGACGCATTGGGTCAAGCCAGGAGTTCAGGGATGCAGGCTCCCTCCCGTGCAAGAAGGGGCTGAGCAAGCATTGGTCCTTACGAATTGCTCATGACCGTGCAAGCCAGAAGCAGGAGTGGGAGAAGAGCAAAGCAGCTCTGAATTCACTGTCCACTGACCACCATGTCCTCCTTTCTCCCCAAATACTGAAATGCAGGATCCATGGAAGGCAAGCAACTTCCAACATACCTTCGTTTTACTTCCCCCATTGTGGCCTTTCACTTCGATGACATCACCCTCTTCATTTAACTGCGGAATTGTCACATGGACTTCTTTAGCATAGTTTGAAACTGCTCCTCTAGGGCACAACCCCTGGAATAAACCAGTAGAGGCAACACAGTTACTGCAGAGCCCATGCACCCAAAGGATGCTGCTCATGTGCTGACGCTTCAGCATCTCCATGGGATGCAAAGCTGAGCTGCACACGCTGGCTTGTTGTTATAGTCTAAGAGCCCTGGCTTGCATTTACCACTTTGTCAGTATAAGATTTAACTTCTTGTGAAAAATAATTGCTTTTTATTTTTTTCCAAGCTCTAATCTTAAGCTTTTAATAAGCTGCAAAATTTCAAAGTGCATCTCATCTTTGGTGGGCACTCGGTTGATTCAGAATCCAGGCCCACCGAGAAGAGAGGCTCTCAAAACATCTTTATCAATATTTAAGATTCATTTTTAATGTGTGAAACCTTCCATTAAGCCTTCTTTGAATGCTAGCACAGAGCTGAGATTTCTATGCTCTCTTCACAAATCAAAGCATGCAAAGACTCCTAACTATCTCTTTGGCGATTTACCTTTACCCTTAGCTTGGTGTATGGCAGGTCTGTACTAACGAGGACAAGCCTTTCCTAGAAGTTGTGGTTTACTGTGTCCCAACCACCAGCTCTGACTTCTCACAAAGAAACCTAGCTTTTCCATCTTCCCCTGGGGAGCAAATAAAGCTCATTTTTGAGCTGCCTCAGGGAGCCAGCTGGAGCTCTGCCCAATTTCCACTAGCTCCTGGAAGTCCAGTATTTGCATTTGTGACCAAACTCTGCTTTCTTGATTACAGGAATGTTTCGATCCATTTTTAGAGTCACCGGCTTTCTAAAGGTCAGTAAAAGCTATCCCGTTGTGCTCACTTGTGACCGTATGAACATCTAACCGGGCTTAGCTCTGCAGATGGAGGAAGAAGGAACAGGGCGAAGTTGGGAGGTAGCCTCTAGTAAAAGCATCTCCATCTAATGGCTTGGGCAGTAGCAGAAAAACACCTTCTTTTTAAAGTGCACAATAATGGCAGAAGCCCAGGCATCATACCTGCAAATACAGGATCTTCTCCTGTACTGTGCTTTGACACATGCGTTCCCTCTTGACTTCTTTGGCCAGAAAAGCCCAGCATCTAGACACAGCAGCACACGCATTGAGGGATTTTTGATCCAAAAGCCCTGAGAAATTAAAGGGACAGATCGGCTAACCCCTATCCACGCTAGAGACCATTCATTACCCTTAGGGGAAACCACCCTTGGAAAATCAGAGCAGCTTTACCCAGGATGTACAGGGACAGGTGAGGTGGCAGGCAGCGAGCGAAGTCCTTGGATTGGTTGACGTTAGAGGGTGACTGGAGAGATGCAGGAACAACGGTGACATCTTGATCGGCTAAGGACATAATAGGCGAGTTGTCCTCTGCATCAGGACCCTCCTGGATGCGGCACTCAGTGTTTCGGGGCCAGAAGCACATTGCTGGTGGTTGACCACCTGGAAGACAGGGGAGTTTAGAGTCTTGTAAGTGCTTGAGCTTTGGTGGCTGTTAACAGTACTGTTGTTAGTAACGCGCTGCAAGAGGTGGTTGATCTTAACCTGACCCTTCTGCTAATCCCTTTGGTACTGTACCATGCGAAGGAAAATGCTGAAAACACTCAGGGTCTCGCAGGACAGTTCACACCAGCGGGGTCTGAGGGCAGAGAATGACAACTCTTCCCACTCACCACGGCCCTGAAGGGTAGCGAGGGCTCTTCACAGCTGGAAAAATCGGGTGATCAGAGGGGCCAGGGGAGACCCCGGGTGAGCTCAGTGGGGATGCAGCGTGACAGTTTTTACAAACACAAGATACTTTACCTCCTCCACCTCTATCTACAGCAATCACCAGCATGGGAGGGCGACTGTCCCAGACTCTAAAGGGGGGAATACCAGAACAACCTCATGCCAAGGACATAGCACTTCTTTCCTGAAAAGAGTGGAAAACCTTCTCTTCCTTTAGCCGTTAGATTTTCTTCAGTAAAAATAGGACTTGGGTTATGACATTGCAGAAGGAAAGAAAGAGGGACAAATTTCTCTGTTGTCCCCGAGATAACAGAACAGTAAGCACAGCTAATGCTCACATTAGTAGTTTTTGCTGGTGTCCACATACACCTCTAGCATCTTTGCCAAACTTCAACCCCCCACGGTGTAAGGCTTTCCTTCCTTTTAGGTACAACACCAGCCACAGTGCTACATTTTGAAATTCAGGTTGTGCTGGCAGAAGACCTTACACCTGGCAGAACAACACCTCAATCAGCAGAAAGGAAGAGACTGTCTTTCATCTCTTCGCTAAGAGCACGCTGGCAGCACCTCGGCAAACTTGGGCATTGACTCAGAGCGAGGACAAGCATCTGTTGAACGGCATCACCTCCTCTTGCGTGGCACTTTGAACTTTCCAGCTAACTGTTGCCATGGCCTGCCATGCTTTTTCCCCAAAATGACCCAGAACAGAACCGTTCCTCGGCAGTGCCAGTTGTTAGTGTCCTGGTATGAAACACCATAGATTTTTCCCCCCACACTATTAAATACTCAGGTAGTGGTACCCATCATACTAAGCTGGCCGGTTCTTGCAGATGAGGTTTTACTTTTAAGAGCTGCAGAAGAAGTGCTAGCAGACCACAGTGGAAATCGAATCTGGGCCCTGGGCAGAGGACAGCTGTCTTCCTTGAAGCTGCTTTGGGATTCAGCAGATGCTCCATCTACATCTTCCTCTGGAATAATTAAGCAAAGAGTCAAACCTTACAGTAGGCATCTTAGAGCTGAATTAGGGGATTGCAGAAGTTAGAATAATATAGCATAATTTATTTATTAGATACTTATTCTATCCCTTCTAGCTATGCAGAATTAGTCCCATCAGCGCTTTCTTTAGTATGGTTTTCATTACTTAAAACATTCCATTCACAACCACCCCTCCTGAGATGTGTTGCCCAGAAGAATTCGGAAGTTTTTTTGCATTACGTTGTTGTCAACTGTACTCCATTACAAGCTATATTCCTCTTCCCTTTAACGATCACCTCGTTTACAGGGTTGCTGCACGCTGGTGCACGCAGACAGGCTGGCACTGAGGCAGAGCTGGCCCTGGGAGGCTGATGCTGGGTCAGGATAAAGCTGCCGGGTCTGAGTCCCATCTCCTGCTGGCAGGAACACCCCATTCCCTCCAGGACCTGTGCTCGCCCCCGGCTTTGCCCACTCATTTCCTACAGCTGGAAGGATCAGAGACCTAAACGGTACCAGATTTGCCGTATTAACCGGAAGGTTAATAGCGCAAGGCAAATAAAGCCACAATTAACAGTTATGTTGGCTGGGCGGTTTCTTTCAGCAGTTACCCTTCGTACCGCCTGCACGGGGAATTTTGCCACATGCAATAAAATACCTGCTAGAGAGGGGAACAGCCAGAGCAGCAGCATCGGGAGCTGCCAGACTGCTGCAGATGACAGAAGGGAACCTGGGTAACGTTACCTCCGTCTTAGCATCACCCCGGACCACCGTGCTTGTCCCCTAGAGTTAGCTCTGACACAGCCTGGGCATCTCCCCCAGCTGCAGGCTGGCCCAGAGCGTGACCCGAGAAAGCTCAGAGGCAGATCTTGATCTTCGGGACAAACAGAGGCTGACTGCAGCACTCCACATTCCCCGAGGGACGTGAGATACGCTCACAAACAGCTGATGATCCCAGCCCTACCACTCTGCAAACGAAAGCTCGTTCGCCGGACAAGGAAGAACACCAGCACGGGCTACGTGCCATTCTCTCCGCCGCCGGCCCTGCAGGGAAGGGCTCTGTTAAAAGCCACACACCCTGGTCGTGGGTGACATCCTCCTGCCTAGCGCACGGGCAGTTGCTTTCAGTTCATGTCACACTCAGCCGCCTTGCAGGTCTCAGCTGGGAGAGGCAGAGAGGATTTTTGGAGCTGAGGGGAATCCGGCACAGCCCCAGCAAGGCGGTATCTGCCTTTTCCTACGACGATAACCTCAGAAGGCACGAAAGGGAAAACCACCACGCCATCAGCGCTCCAGACACCGAACCCCGCAGGCCTGACTGCCCTAGGCGCGAGTTTTTTGGTCCACCGTTCTTCTGCCCGATAAGCAGTAAACGGAGATGCGTTCCGTGTCAGTGACCCCTGCCTCCTCCTGGGCTCTGCCCAGGGAGCCCGCAGGCAGGGCAGGGGCACAGGCACCGCAGAGCCCCCGGAGCACAGGTCAGCCAGAAAGGAAAGCAAACGGCTGAAAACAGTCCCCGGGGAAGCGGGAGCACAGTTGGCCTTTGGACACCACAGCATTTGGGTTTTCGACAGAGGAACACAGAAGCAGTAAGCGTAAGCTGGACAGTGCTGATCCAGGGGCTGTTTGGGAAGAGGTTGTGCACAGATGCTTCACAATCAGCTCACTTCAGTCAAACACACCGTTTTTACTTAGTTTCCCTGAGTCCCAAGCTTCCCCAGCTTGAAAAAAAAAAGACCTCATTTAGTCATCTAATGAGTCAAAAATGCATGTAGAATAAGAGTAAAGGCTGGTTCATCCATCATTTGGGAGAAGGTAGGAGGATTAACTAGGTCATAAAAAAACCCCCTTTCGACAAGAAGACAGAGCATTGCGGAACAGCCCAGGAGGGAAAGCAGCAGAACAGGCAGGCAGCAAGAAACTCATGCCCCCCTCCTCCCTTGCGGAGATGGGCAGGAATGCCTTAGGACAGCAGGGCCACGTACCTGGGGCTTGCTCTGTGCACGGCAGGTTTGGGGCTCTCACTGTGCCCATTGGGCTCTTCCACTCACTGTGGTCAGAGTGGAAAAACCAGTGCTGGATGGGAACACGACGCTCTTTGCCCTGCAGAGATTTCAGCGCTGCCATTGCAGCAGTTTCAAGTTTGGTGTGTGCAAAACAAACATGTTGTGTGAAGCTGGCGGCCCTACAAGCTCCGGCACCCAAGCCGCCATCCCACACACATCCCCACGCGAGATTTTAATGCAACTCTTTGGCAGAGCAAGCAGAGAAAAGCAGGGCTCCAGCCTCAGCCATTCTCCTCCAGGGTAGGGTTGTTTTCCCACCACAAAGAGCTACTTACAGCAAATCAACCCCTTTTCATCAGTTCCAAACCCAGCTCCAGGCTGCCTCCGTGTGCTTGCTTGTTTAATTAAATCAAAGCTTGGAGTTCCCCTCTGCAGTGATCACAACCCCTCCCAGAGATGCATTTCACTCCCTACACACAGAAATGCTCCTTTCACAGTGGTATCTAAGAAATAGTCTTTACTTGCAAAGTGGTCCATTTGGGATAGCAGCACCCACCATCGAAAAACTGCTGTCCCAGGGTGAGAGAAGTCCCCAACATCCCCGATCTCACCTACCTCCAGGAGGGCGCAGCCACCTCTCCCCAGGGCAGGCTCCCTGCTGTCCCCCTCTCCATGCTCGCAGGGAGGTGCAAGCACCCCAGCAAGGCAACCCCCACCAAAACCAGCCCTGAGACCCCACATAACCCCGATTGCCTCCCTGCCCTCCAGTCCCAGGCTTCATAGAGACCCCAAGCCCCGCTGCTGAGACAATACCCTCTGCAACGAGCCTAACCCCCCGGCCAGGAGGAGCAGGAGGGCTAGGAGCACGTCCCACACTGCCAGCTCCTCTCAGATAACCCCCAGAGTTACTTTACCAGCTGCACATGAATACACAGAACTGAACTGGCACCAGAGAGTACTTGCTAGAGGTAAATATTGATGTGAAAGACCTCACAGAAGCACAGCCCAGCAGCTGAGATAACAAGCTGAATATTTTTTTTTTTTTAATCTCTTTTAGTCTCCCACATAGCCCTCCTGAGCTGCAGCTCCTCCGTGCTGCAACTCAGCCCTTTTATTGGAAACCTGTGCTCCTTCTCCAGCTGAAACCATTTTGCCGCTGCTAGAGCTTAGATGGTGCTGCCTGTCCCTGGTGCAGGCAGGGCTGCCTGTCCCTGGGGAGCCCTCCCCAGGGTCAGAGCCGTGGGGATTAGTGTTTTGAAGCAAGCAATAAATTCCTGAGATGCGTAAGATTCATGTGAAGATTAAAGCCACGGAGGCAAATCAGCTAAAACAAACTGAATGTTTTCCTGGCTCGATCTGTCCTGGGACACACAGAAACCTGGGAAGGATGAAGACACCCTGGGAACAGACATGGAGCTGAAGTCCTCTATCTGGGAGGTTTGCACTGGGAAGAACTGGACGCAGCGGGACACATACTGGTTTTCCAAGGCCTGGAGACACATTCAGCTGCCCGCCGGTGGAAGGAGGAGCCCAGGCCATCGCTGAGGCTGGGCAGGGTGGGCATGTATCCAGGTCATTTTTCCCTTGCACAGGCATTTAAAGAAAAAACCCTTTTCTTTAAAGTCCCAATGTTTTGGAATAAAAGCTGGAGCATGCCTGGGGGCTAGCAAGTAATTCCCTCTTCGTGCAGGGGTGGTTAAGGCAGCGCAAGCACAGAAGACATATTGAGCACCCCGAGAAGGAAGCCGTGACTTTGGTGGCAAAATACTTCTTGCTTCCCAAGCACGGCAGCCCTCTCCTGTAGCACATTTCCCCCTTGTGCATCATTTTTAAATGTTTTGATGGCCTAAAGGGTGTTCACAAGGGTTTCATCCCTGTGCACTAGGATGTGGGGATGAGAGTGAGCACGATTTGCAGCATCATGGACTTTGTGTAATGCGGGAGGGTACAGAGAGCGGGCAAAGCAGGGAAGCAGAAGTATTAGGTACCCCCAACCAGTCACCTTGGTTGTCACGGCTGGCTCACACGCCGCCTGTGAAGGGCAAGGAAGCCTGAGCATCGTCACCCTTACATCAGGAGGCACTGCAAGTGTCCTTATAAACACCAGCATCCAGTTATGATGGTTATTTTTATTGCACAATCTCTCACCAAAGAGAGAGCACCCAGCTGAGCCTGGGGAGCCACAGGCAGCCCTGCCACAAGGAGCTAGAGGTTCAACCAGAGCCAATAGATATGGGGGGAGGAAAACCAGTGCTGTCTTCCTTGTGTTACTGGGATGTGGAGGGGAAGGGTTGGGAGCCAGGATGCCTGTGGAGCTGGTGGCAGAGCTGCGTGGCAGATCTCCCAGGAGAAGCTTGAAGCGACCCTCCTGCTTGGTGGTTGCTGCTGTAGCGCTCATGGTTTCATGACTTGCTCTGATTTTGGAAGAAGTTAAGGCATCTGGAAGACCCGTTCCTCCTCCCCGCTGCTCTCTGCTTAAGATGACACCGGGCGCCGAATAGCAAAGAACTTGCCCGGTATCGCCCTGCTCTCTATCTTGAGCCATAGGGATAATAAATCCATCTCCTTGTACTCAATAGCGAGCTGGAAGGTGAAGCTCTGCAGCAGCGTGGTGAGGAAAAGGAAGAGCTCGATGCGAGCCAGTGCTTCTCCTGGGCACATACGCTTCCCTGGGGGCACAGAAAGGGGAGGGTTAGCACTGGGCTGATGACCTCATCCAGCATTTGGGGAACAAAGGGCATAAAAAAATAGCGAGAAAGCTCATATTAAGGGTATAACTTTGGTGCCAACTGATATGCATGCTGCCGGTCCCTGGAGCGGAGCCGCTGCAGGCAGGGTGCTGGCAAAGGCGGCATGCAGGGCTGAGCACTGACCTGCCGAGAAAGCCATGAAGGCTTCACGCTTCCTGAACTCGCCCTTCTCATCCAAGAAGTGGCCTGGGTTGACTTCTTTGGGGTTCTCCCACTGGGTTGGATCCGTATGCACGGAAGAAAGTACCGGAATAACAGCTGTGTCCTGCAGGAGAGGGATGGGGCAGGGACATCAGTGTCACGACATAGGGCTCTGCTGAGCTGAATGAGCAAGTGAGGAGCATCTGGGGGGCACGGGGGGAGGCTGGGTGCACACCCTGATGCCCACCCAGACGCCCGTGGGGAGGCAGCCCGGAGTGATGGCTCTGTGCCAGGCAGGGACAACTAACGTGGGGCTCCGCTGTCCCCATGGCCCTGCCGGTCTCTGTGCAGCTCATGAGACAGAAATTACTGAGTTATTCCCATTGATTTATGCTAAAACCCCTCTCGCTGCACGAAGTCCAAAGGAGGGAGGTGTTCCTTCAAGGTGGGTGTCGTACAAAATGCTTGCAGTCAACCCGGACGGGCAGCCATCCCCAGATCTGCCGAGGAGGTGGGGGCTGGCTTGGCCCCGCGCCGCGGCCAGCTCAGGCTCCCGGCCCCATCAGCCCTGCACATCTCCCTGGTGGCAAGAGGTGTTTCCCAGGGCAGGCAAGGGACATAGGTGTATGGGCAGAACTGGCAGCAGCGTTCACCTCCCTCTACTCCGCTAAAAGGTTATCACCATCTCCTCCCACCGAGGATTGGGAAAGACCTGGGACCTTCAGGAGTGAACAAACAGTCCAGGGGCAAAGGTGAATTTCATTCAAGCCCCCTTGCCACCCCTCCCCTCGGGGACACAGAGAGTCCAAGGCCACGACATCTACCTTGGGGATGGTGTGGCCCCTGAACACGATGTCCCGTGTCGTCATCCGCGGGAAGTTCTCGATGCGGGTCTTGTGGACACGCTGCAGCTCGTGGATCACCGCGTTGGTGTACGGCATCCTCAGCTTGTCGTCCGTGCTGGGAGCACGGCCGGCGCCCACCACCTCATCGATCTCCTCTTGGACCTTGGCTTGGGGAAAAGGCAGGCATGGAGCTGTGGTGCTTGCTGTGCAGAGCCATCCCCATGATTTCTCACTGCCCTCCATGGGCACCTATCCTAGAGCCAAAGGACAACCTAGCAGAGAGGGAGCAACCCGGCATAACCCCTCGTAGAGACCAGAAATAGGGTCTCTGTCTGCATACCTCCCTGGATCAGGCAGGTTCAAGGCATCTCTCATGGGCCAGTCCGGGGCCATTTGCACAGGCAGGGATGGGGAGAAGGGAGCAGGTACCCGGCTCCCTCTGGCCTGTGTGTATCTGTGTCTAATGGCGCTCACCCTTGCATGACCCATGCAGGATGATTTTGGTCTCCCCTCAAACGGGACCCTCCAGGGCTGGGACTCTGTCTGTGCCTTTGCTGCACCGTGACCTCCTCAGGCACAGGGAGCAGTCACGTTTTGCTGCCCTTACCTTGAATATGGGGGTGTTTTGCCAGGATCAAGAGGAAGAAGAGCAGGGTGTTGCTAGTGGTCACTGTCCCCGCACCAAAGAGGTTGAATACTGACATGACCAAGTCTTCGTTGCTGTACATGTTCTCCGGGCTGCTCTTCTCCTGCAAGGATGCAGTAGGGAGGGGATTCAGTATCATCTGGGTGATTTTCCAGGCTGCAGCCAGGTCTGGAGGGCAGCCCTCGCCTTGTTTTGTACCACCTCTACCTTCTCTGCCTTTATAAGGAAACAGTCGATGTAGTCCCGGGGGCAGCTGGGATCCAGCGTCAGCTTGTGAAGCTCGACTCTTTCTCGGATGTAGTCCTTCAGCTTCTCGCACTCGGCCAGGGCTTTCTTGTGTGGCCCCGGGAGATGGTGCATGATGTTGGGGAAGGAGTTGTAGACCTGCAGATGGAGGAGGCACAGGAGGGCTCAGGTGCCTGGATGGAGCCTCCTGCACCTTCCCTCAAAGCCATGCTGTCCCATCAAAGCCAAAGAGTGACTCAAAGCCAAGGAGCATCCCTCGACCACCCAAGTGCGTCAGACATGAGGGCGCTGAGCACAGCAAGGACACCTACCATGGCTATGGGGGAGAGGAAGAAGCTAATGTAATTCCCGATCACGTTCAGTAGCTCCAGAAAGGCCGTGTCGCTGTAGTTGTAACGGCTCCCAAAGACAACGGAGCAGATCACATTGGCAACTGCATGTCTGAACATGGTCATTGGCTCGAAGGCGTTTCCTGCAGCCACAGAAGAGGCAAGAAAGGCGTCAGAAACTCAACAATTATTTATCTGCTTCAGCACAGAAAACACCCTTCCTCCCCCTTCCTTTGAGCTCTGAGCCCTGGTTGAATCCTCCAGGTCTAACAGCTGAAGCAAAAAGCCCTCCTGAGCTGCGGGCTCCTAAACCCACCTCCCTGCTCCTAAACCCCTCCCCAGTGCTTGGGACTGAGGAAAGCAGAGGAACCTCCATGTGCTTTGGGCTCCCACTGATGTGTCCTGGGGATCTGGGGGCTGCAGAGCATCTCCCTGTGGTGACCAGCCCCTCGCCAGCACCGCACATTGGAGGCAGAGGGGCCAGCATACAACTGAGCCTCTATCTCCTCTTATATTCTGGAAGCTCCAGAAGAGGTGGTGGCACTGGCAGCAGTTCGGTTTTGTTGGAGAGGAGGACATCACCCTGATAAGCTCCCTGTCGCCAGGGCAGTATCTTATTTGTGCATTCTCAATGCCATGCAGTTTAGTTTCCTATTTCTGTTCTTTTGGCATGAAATGGTCCTCGGTGGTCCCCCACCCCATGCACCAATTCAGGAGCAGGATGTTCCACCCTGGCCTTTCAGCCATGACCGTACCACATCCCTTCTGCCTTCTTTGGGTGGGATGGGGCTAGGTCTAAGCCCTCTCTCTGTAAGGATCATCCACACCAGCCGTTGCAATAAGCTCCAGAAACCACACATGTCCCATGAGGCTGTTGTGTGTCCTCCACCTGCCCTGGGGACCAGGGTGGACAGGACTCACGTCACCTTTGAGTTTTGCCAGCAGCTCCACCAGGTGCTGGGCCTCCTGCTGCACCCGCTGCGACATGGAGCTCTTCCCCATCCCGAAGTCCCGCAGGGTGCTGAGCGTGAACCTCCGCAGCTCCCGCCACTTCTCCTCATTGTTAGAGACAAAACCTGGAGGGAGGCAGGGGAGATCACTCACCTGCCCGCCCCACCACTCCTCCCCGGGAACGGGGTACCCTGCTCTGAGCCCAGCTGAGGAGCAGTAGGGCACTGAGCCAGAAGACAACCCTGGTGTGTGCACAGTGTCCTTGAAAGGCTGAGGATCTCTACAGAAACTCAAAACAAAGCTGGAACTGGCTAACTGGAATTAATGTTGTCCTCGGACAAGAGGCTTAATAGATGGAGGGACTTGCAGAGTGGGAAATGAGTATTTGAGGTCTTGGCTGTTGAGTCCTTCACTAGACTTGAGCATGGCCAGCTGCAGTCAGGGACTTCCTGCTCACCCAAAGAGCAATAAAGTGCCTAGAAGAAATGCAGATGCCTACCGTAGTCTTTCGATAGCTGCACCAGGAGGGGTATCTCAGGTCTCCCTCCGAACTCCTCGGAGTGGCCCACCAGAGCATCCTTCACCACCTCGTACCCACAGAGCACCACCACCGGCTTCAGCCCCAGCCAGACAGTGAAGATGGGGCCGTATGTGCT